TTGCACTCAGTTACAGTATGAACAACATGTCCGAAAGATGAATAAGCTCATTGTTTAACATAATGCACATAATGAGTGAAAGTCTAGCATCCTCAAACAAGCTGAAAAAAATACTTTTCAAAAAGTTGCATCTTAAAAAGGATTTTTTTTCCAGCCTAAAAGTAAGAAAAACAGGTGATAGTTTCCAATACATAACCCCAACTGCATTACATTCATGTAATTAAATCAAGTTTTTAAGCAGTTTTTGATGGTGCCATATTGATTGTTCTGCATAAACATTTAGAAACATGCAAACAAAATTAACCACAAAGCATCCACTGACTGACATACAATTTATTAAAACTGTTGCAACTTTGGCAGAACATTTTGTTTCCACACAAGAGCCCATTGCTTAACACAAAAGCTGATTCAGTTTTCAGGGCCTCGAAAATTACTTTTAACACATATATTTGAAACATGAAACTTAAAAAAAAGTTTGAAAATGTAATGTTGCCATGCCATGTTTAATACAGTGTTGGCACTTAAATGACCATGTTTTTGACATAGAATTGATCAGAACTTCATCTTCTCAATGTCTTTCAGTCCTTTCAGTGACCCCTGTTTTGTCTTAAGTTTGACCTGCTGGATTGCTGGTTGTCTTTTCTGGACAAAGCTCCTTGGTAGGATCCATCACAACAGGTGGAGGCATGTTCAGACACTTCACCTGAGCCCTGAACTCCTCCATCTCGTTCTGGTCCAGTGCCCTCCTCCTGCTGAACAGATAAAAATGCTGCCGCTTCCCTGACTCCACATTCATGCGCATCAGCAAGCAGTCATGGCAGGATGTATAGACGAAGTTTGCGCTTAAATTGCTTCTATCTGTCCCATCATAGGTGAAACTGCTGCCTTCTAGGGAGATGTTGTAGGAATTACCCTGGCACTTGTTATCTAAACGGATGGTGCGAGTGTAGGAAATGTTAGTGTCACTGGTGTTGCTGGAGAAGTTCACAGTGGCACTGTCTCTTTCTTTGAATCTCTCCAGGTACGGTAGATGGCTCAGACTGCCTGCAACTAAAGCCCATCTTCCCTGCAAATGACGGAAATCAGGTTGATCCAAAGGCCGGACCAGTTCTTCACAGCTCGGAGGAGCTGAATGGCTTACAGACACTGAACAGAGCAGAGCGATGGCACATGCAGCCAAACCCATTCTGTATTGTTTGAAGGCAGTCGTTGGGATACCTTTGTCAGTCACACTGTAGTGTTAAATAAGGAATGTGGCTGGTTTTATAGTTGCTTCAGAAACATCCAGTTTCACAATACAGAAAATACCGGAGCAGAGTCCCTTTCTCTACCTGTGGATTGTGAAATTAAATTATATTTTTTGGACTCTCTGTGACTACTGAAATCACATACACTGTTGAAGGACGTTAACTCTCTTTGTAGAAATACTTAATTGGATCAGAAACCTCCAGTTTTGCAACACTGTTGATGCAAGAGGACAGAATCCCTTCTCCTATCGATTCTGTGATTGTGAAATTACAAAATTTTGTTTAGAAACCTAAAGTCCAATTTAATTATTGCACATTCCGTCTGAAACATTCTGTAATTATTGACAGTAAACAGCAAGTGCTTTTTTCACTGCTGGCAGTGTCAGGCTGCTAAAACGTGCCAGAAGAAGTATAGATCTTTTACTCAATTAGTACAACAATGTACTATATAAATGTTCTATTAAGTACAATTCCTTTTTTCAAAATCCCATTTAGTATTCATTACTTTTAACTATTTTATATACAGGTAGGTTCAATTTCAGACTTTAATCTGAAATATTGTATAATTTGACCTTTTTGTGCACTGAGCAATCATTTAAATAAAATCATCTCTGTCAACTGTCAACAACTCATCTGAAACATGACAAAAGGTCCTAACTATACACTTTCTATATATTTCTTATATTTTTCTAAAAGCAAGTCAAGCAAAACCAAGTCAAAAAGACTCCATCTTTACCAATGTATTGTATTTTATGATCTGTATAGACTGCCATTAAAAATAGTAAAGCCTTCATCTGAAATGTAACTAGTAACTAAAACTGTCACATAAATGACATGGAGTGAAAAGTACAATATGTCCCTCTAAGTGTAAAGTACCATAAAACAGAAATACTCAGTACAAGTACTTCCAAGCGAACAGGAAACAAAATATATTCTTACCTATAAATATACCCATACTCGCCACTTTCAAAAAGAACAAACAGAGATTTCTTGGCATTCCCAAACTATGTGAAAATATCTCCCAATACAACCACTGCAGCATGCATACATACATACATACATACATACATACATACATACATACTGTATTCTTACTGTGGAAATACCAACAACTGAGTCAACATACTGTATTAATTACTTGGTTGTGAACTCTCAGAAAGAATGATATGGAAGCATGGAAAGGGAGATGTATAAGTACATGAGATTATTTATAATATAAATAGTTTTAACTCAGGTAGAGTATGGTTTTATCCTTGAAATTGTTCATGCAGTGACACCTATGGTGACTTGAATGGAACATGATACTGTAACCCAAATCCAGTAGGTAACTAATATTGCAACTAAAACTGGACCCTTTCACTGTTGTCATAAAGATATAACAGTGAGTATCTTGTTAGCATTTAGGTACTGCTCAACAGAGCATCTGTGTCTAAGACTCATGGGACATGTAGTTTCTGAATACTACACTTAAAATATAAGTTAAACATATTTACAACTAACTAACTTTTTTATTGTTTTATCTCAATTATCCATGACAACATGAAACCTACTCAAAACATCTTCTCAAATCATTTATTTTTGTCTGATGGAATAAAATTGAAATGACACTGGTATGCATCAACATTTATTCACAGTGTATGAATATATATCAGGTAACAAAGTCTCTGTAGGTCTGTTGTCCCTCTGTTTTTTCTTAGGTTTGAGCTGCTGCTTTGCTGGCAGTCTGCTCTGGACAAAGCTCTTTGTTAGGATCCATCACGACAGGTGGAGGCATCTTCAGACACTCGACCTGAGCCCTAAACTCCTCCATCTCATTCTGGTCCACCTCCCTCCTTTTGCTGAGCAGGTAGAAGTCTGCTGACTTGTAATTTGGTGACTCCATATCTAAGGTAAACACCATACAGTCTGGACAAGACGTATGGAACAAGGTCCCAGTAAAGTTAAAGGTCTTCACCTTTAACTTGAAGATCTGGCCTTCCACTGAGAGGTTGCGGGTATGATACAGGCAATGTCCACCAACATGGTTGGCTTGGGTGTATGAGGAATTGTGGAGATCAATAGTTACACTGTCTCTTCCTTTTAGGCGGTCTGCAGCGACTGTATCTTTCAGACTGCCTGCAACTAAAGCCCACCTTCCCTCCAAATGACGAGGATCCAGTTGATCCAAAGGCCGGACCAGTTCTTCACAGGTCAGAGGAGCTGAATGGCTCACAGACACTGAGCAGAGCAGAGCGATGGCACATGCAGCCAAAAACATTCTGTATTGTTTGAAGGCAGTCCTTGGGATACCTGTGTCAGTCGCACTGTAGTGTTGTGCCTGGTAAAGAGGTCTGGCTGGTTTTATAGTTTTTTCAGAAACATCTAGTTTCACAATACAGAAAATACCGGAGTTCCTTGTGTACTTGTGGATTGTGAAATGACAAAAATACTTTTAGGACTCTCTGTGACTAGTGATTGTTTATAGAGTTTTACTAGCTGGCTCCATCTTACCTGTGATAATGTGGCTCTCTACTTCTTGTAGATTGAAGTTCTGTAAAATTTGTATTTATGAATTCCAGTAGTTGAATAAAGTGCAGATACTAACAGTAGGTGGTCTGAGAATGCAAGTACCACACACGTATTTCTTATTTTGTCTAACTTATCTCAGAGTCACAGAAATACAAAAAAAAAAAATAATTTGTATGCTGAGCTGTATATTTGTGTACTGAAATCATATAAACTGCTATATTGTACATTTATGGAGGTAGTGGGAAGAATGTTTATAGGCTACTGTGTCGAAACACTGTTTTGCAACACTGTTGATGCCAGAGGACAGAGTCCTTCTTTTGTTGATTATGATTGTGAAATTACTGATTTTTTTGACAAACCTAAACAAAGTCCAATTTTATTATTGTGAGCTTAATCTTCTGTAATTATGGATGACTTGGTCGTGTATATATACAGATATTAACATTTTTGTTTATTTAGGCCTACTGTATTTACAAAATCAGAGTGAACATTCTTTAAAAAATGTGGCTGTGAAATAAAGGGGGTGTCCCTATGGTGCTCTTCAGTTTTGGGATCCTACTAGTTTTGAATTTCAGGCACCCAAGAGGATAAAAAACCTGTAATATCTCATGACATTTTACTCATATTAACAGTTAAGACATGCCTACGTTTCAGCCATTCAGGCCTTCATCAGGGCAAATACAAAATGATTGCTTTTCGGCTGTTTCTTATACTTGTTGACAAGCAGTCACATGATCAATATGTCCAACTAAGTAGGATGGATTATGTTAATGGTTTCAAGCAGCGGCTCTTTGAAGCTGTTAGACTGAAAAAATTTAAGGCTACTGTTACTCTTGGGGTAGTATGATCTCCCCAGTATTTGGGTAAACTTTACTTATTGCCACTTGCCACAGCATAGACTAGATGAGCTGCGCTGGGCCATATCCCGCCCACCTTGTGAAACATGACATTGATGTTGGAGATGTTAAATGCCTATAAAGCAGCATTTCTACAGATCCTCCGCTGTAAAACACGAACAGTTAAGAGTCAGAGGTCAAATACATGTTAGAAAATCGAAATTTCAGAACCCTCACATTCTAGCTGGGCTTCACCCTGTTTATTGCCAGTTCACACCAATGCAACTACACGAGACAGTGTATTGTCTCCATAGCACTGACTCTCTCGCTTAATGAACTGGGTGGTTTCTGGGCTGTATTTGGTCGTGTATTTAGATGTGTGTAGTGATGGATGGATGGTGATCAGAAGTTTCAAAGGTTTTGGGTATTTTTTATTGTTTTATCTTGACTGCCAGGCACAGCAGAAATGTCACTCTTACCATATGCACAAAAGCAATCACAGATGTTGTGTGACATTGATTTTAATGTACACTGTCAACAGATGTCATGTAACACAGTCTCTTGAGCCTTTGGATTCTCTGGTTTTTCCTCATCATGACCTACTGTGGTGAGAGGTGACTGTACAAAGCTTCTTGGTCGGATCCATCACCACATGTTGAGGCATGTCCAGACAATCCACCTGAGCGATGAACTCCGCCAACTCCTTCGGTTCCACCTCCCTCCTTTTGCTGAACAGGCACAGTTCCTCTGTCGTTGTTGTTGGTGCTTCCATTTTGAAACTCAATACCACGCAGTCGGAACAGGATGTTTGGTATATAGTCCCACTGAAGTTATACATCTGTCCAACACTGAAGTTATAGTTACCACCTTGTATTGAGACGTTGTATGAAGAATAAGAGCACCGCTCACCAAAACGATGGGTTTTGATCAAAGTTGAGTTGAAGAAATCAATACTTATGCTGTCAGATGGTTGAATCCACACTTGACCTTTGATGGTTTTCATGCTGTTTGCAACCATAACCCATTTGCCCTCAAAATCATGAACATTCAGTTGATCCAAAGGCTTGAGCAAGTCTGAACAGGCCAGAGGAGCTGACTGGCTCACAGACATCAAGTAGACAAGAGTGATGGCACACACAGCAAACATGGCTCTGTAAGTGGAAGTCATATGACTGTACATCTAGACTCAGTTACATGCAGCGTCTCCCTGAAAGTGGTGCCAGTATAGTGCCTTGTGGTTTTATAGTTGCATCAGAAAAGTTTCACAATACCGAGAGCAGAGTCCACCTGTCTTCTCTGTGACAGTAAAATAAGAATGAATTGAATGCTGTGAATCTTGATTATTTACACTGTCTTACATGTAAGTAGTGAATATACTGTGACTCCTTTTGTAAATAGCAGCCAATAAAATTGTTTTAATCTTATTGGCTCAGAAAAAGAGCTACAACTTCAATATATGTATTGTGTCTGTTGAAATCACTATAAAACCTAATATGCTCTGTTAAATGCATTGAGAATACTTCTACCTCGTCACAGTTGCACTGTAGCTTTAAAGTAAAATGATTACATTTCACACTGTAAACTATCGGAAAGTTTCTGTTTCACAATACCTAATATTGTTTTAGCAATTCTGAAACAGCAAGCGTCGATTTCTGGGAAAGTTCAGCTTAGTGGAATAATTCCGTGAACCAATGTTTGTTTCCAGTCAAAGCACCAGTATCACCTTTGCAACAGTACACACAAGCTGCCCCTTTAGACTCATTGCTTTTATTCTTACAACACTGTGATGAACTATACATATACTGTTATACTCATAGTCTGTTGTTGATGTGTTAAAAGCAGGAAAAATGGGCAGTGTGAGGATATGAGCAATTTTGACAAAGACCAAATTATGATGGTTAGATGACTGTTAGAGCATCTCCAAAACTGCAGCTCTTGTGGGGTGTTCCTGGTCTGCAGTGGTCAGTGCATATCAAACGTGGTCCAGGGACTGATGCACATGGGGAGTGAAGGCTGGCCCATGTGGTCCGATCCAACAGACAAGCTACTGTAGCTCAAACTGGTGAAAAATGCTGGTTCTGATAGAAAGTTGTCAGAACACACAGTGCATTATAGTTTGTTGCGTATGGTGCTGCATAACATTATGACCACCAGGGAAGCCCAGGTGGTCTGGCATCATACCAGAACCGGAGATGACGAGCAGGCAATGTAACCGGGCTCTCTCATGGACAGAGGAAGCTAAGTAGAGAATAGGAAAGAGAAGCTGGCCAGAAAAGGGTAAATCTGGGACTGGCTTTTAGTCGTTGACGAGAGCTTTGTGAAATAAAAGGCTGCAGACTGTTGGCAAGCTGGCCTTCTTGCTGTTGGACTACTGAGTTATTTTAGCTGGCTTGCTGTGTCTTGTGTTGTTGCACTTGTTTGATGTTGTGTTAGCAAAGACTTGCTTGTTTTTGATCACAAGTAATGGAATCGTAACAAATGCACATGCACAGCTGTCCATATTTACGACAGATATTGCACTCTGAAATGGGGGTGCCAAATTACAACAAATACCAAATCTTACATAGTGTTGCTTTCACCAAGTAAAGTGATATGTGATGTGGTTTGTTAATTTAAGACAAATAAACTGTGAGGCGGCTCTGCACACCATACTGCGATAGCACCTACACATCTAACTCTCACTGATAATTTTCTTTTCACAAGAGCAGGTTGACGAGCACCAATCTAGTATAGAGAGGTACTGGTTCCTCATGAGAGGACAGGACCCCCTGAGAGCTCTCAGCTCAGCAGGACTTATTTTCACAGTTACATGGCCCATTGCTGCATCCCTTTTCTACAGGGACTCAGGCTTTAGTCTGGCCCTTGAGAAGACTGTGCTTCTAGCTACTGAACTACCACAAGAGCTGGTAGAGACACTGCTGGGTGCTCTATTTTTGAGAGGTGTTGCAGGTTTCTCATGAGCTCAGCCCCTGTGATCCCGCTCTTTCTGTAAAATATCTCAAAGATAAATCCTGTTAGCTCCCTTCTTCTCTTTAGGGGGATATTTACCACAACTAAAGCTGCATAAATATAGATATACCAGCTATCTGAGGGGGGACTGCATGCTCCCACTCCCATTTTGTTAAATATGACAGGAAAGATTAGGAGAGAGAGCTGTCCTAAACCAGTTGCCCCTGGTTCTGTAATAAGATAAGTAAGAAATAACATTATGCAACAAGTGGTTAAAGATTACACAGCATTTGTTTTCCATTGAGCAATGTTGTGTTTTTTGGAACAGAAATGCTGGATGAATATCAAGTACATCAGGCAATGTATCACAAATGTCAGTTTAATCATTAAATCATTCATCAATCATTTCAAAGCTGACATCTCAGACACTCTCAGTTCCACATGTTTCTGTATACAGTATATACATCCATGCACAGAGCTTCGTCAGGAGCTCTGGAGCTTCTCTTCAAAAGCTCATCTGGTCAAAATACAAAATTCATACTTCCAGGTATTTCAAAATAATTGCTCTTTTAAAACTGACAACGGCCCACAAAATATTCAGTGGATCAAGCTGTTGTTTATAAATTAGACCATTTCATACTATTAGTCTGTGTATTGTCAAAAGCTGTATTACAGAATGAATAAAAATGTTCAGGCCCTATATGGATTAAAAATATCTCTAATGAAAGACCAAAATCAATAAAATATTTCAGCTTTAAAGTCATTAAATTAGAACAATATCCTCTCTTAACCTCTCCAGATCTTTGGAATTTTCCAGTTAAATCTCATATTTAGATGATGAAATTTACCCAATGAATTATACATGTAGACACAACAGTTTAAAAAATACATCTTTACTCTGCTTTAGTTTGCTTAACTGCATCTAATATGTGGGTTGTGTGATCCTATATAGATTGGCTGGCTCATCTGCTAACCAGGAAAATGAAATAAAACTCAAACAGTGTAAAAATAAAAAAAGAAAGAAAAAAGAACAAAAACAAAAAAAACACGCCTCATATTTTGGTCCACATTGTGCGAAGGGAATTTAAAAGTGTAGCCCTGGGTAGAGAACTCAAGGCACTTAAACACTGACAAGTCCAGTCCATACCTCCTGTGTCTTCACATTGGAGAGAGCTCACTTTCTCTTGGAGAATCAAAACTCACGAGTGGGATGAGGAGGTTTCGAGATGAATACAAAGAGTGAGGGCAGAGGGTAGGGGAGGGGAGGGGAGGGGAGGGAAGGGAAGTAGCTTGTGGACACATCAATATGGGGATGGGCGCAAAAAAACAAAGAGACGAGGAAAGGAGCGTGTTGTGAATTGAACAGCGAAGGGACAGACTGAAAGATACTGGCAGGCTGAAGAGGGGGAGAGGAAGTCAATGTACAGCGAGGGTATTTACATAACAGAGCAGCACTGGCAGGTTTTGCGTTTGGGTGCCTCTGTTTCCTCTCCCTGGTTAGCCCTGGTTGTGATCTGTGTCTCTGTGCTGGTGGGGCTGTTAGCTGCTGCTGACTCTGCACGGGTGTCGGGGGCTTTGGCCTGCGAAAGAAGGGGTTCCTGCTCCCCCGGCCCTGCCTCTGTCCTCTGGTTGTCCTTAGGATCAGCCAGGGGCACCTCCTGGAACTGGCCAGGCACAGTGGCAGGGTCTTGGGCTTTCAATGCTGCCTCAGCTTCCTCTGGTGACGTTGCAGCTGCACCCTCGGCTTCTAGCTCGAGGGCGAGAGCGGACTTAGAGTAGATTGGCACCGAAGCCACTGTAGTGCCCTCTATGGGATTGGCCTGGGACTGCACCTGCACAGAGGTTGGATCTTCTGATTGCTTGTCCTGTTCATCGCCGTTTTCGTTTGTCTTTACGCCACCCTCCACCTCTCCATCAGCGGGTGCTGGTTGTGCCTCTGCAGTGGGTTCAGTTGCCTCACTCTTCTCTGGTTGTGTGAACGCATCTGGAGTTGCTTCTGTTTTTACTACCTCCTCCACAGCCTCCCCTCCCTCTTGGCCTTGGCTTGCTTCTGGATTCAGCAGAGGGGATTCCTCTGACTGAATGGTTTCTTGCTGATCTTCCTGGGGCGTAAGATCCTCAGGTATATCATCCCCTTCATCTGTGATGATCACACGTTCTGCTCTCATCACCAGAGTCCCTTCATCCTCCTCCTCATTAATGTTGACATTTGGAACCTGACCAGGCTCTGCCTCAGAAACACCCGTGCTCAACTCTGGTGCCAACTTCATGCTAACAACACCCTCAGAGGCTAAAACTGGTCCGTTGGTGGTGGACTGATTACTCTGCTCTGAAGCATCAGGGTTAATGTGCGCCTCTGAGTCTCCTCCACCATTTGTTAGGACAGCTGCAGTTACATCCACTAGTGGGTTTTGGTTTGTCTTCACTTCATCTATAGTTGTTATTTCTGAAGAAAAAATATCAAACAAATATCACTGAGAAAATGAGGAGACTTCTGTGCATTTGCATTCATTTGAATAGTTAGTGCTGTTCATGCATTTAAATGATGCAGAGTGAATTTGCAATCAGTATGCCACACTGTCATTAACACTGATTATTAGCTTTCATTGTAGTTAGTTGAGATGCACCAGTACTTGATTGCAATAAGAGGTTGCTTTGCCACCAATATGTCAGCGCTCAATACAGCTAATTGATATAATTTAATGCAGTCAACAAAAGGTTCTGCCATCTATGAATCTTGAAACACGCAATCATCATAGTTAGACACAAGATGCAAAGAGCATGCATTACATGCAAATATAGATTCTGCAGTCTGGATGCTTTAAATACCAATAGATGGGTTCATTTCATAATGTTTTTAGAACTTTATTGTGCACTTCAACAGTGTAAATAGCATCTCCCATGGACATGTCAATGTACCTGCTGCCCTCTAAAAATGCAAGTTATGCACTTGAGGGCCTATTAGCATAAATATATATGCAAGACCTTATTCAACAAGCATAAATATTCATCACAGCATGTATGAACTTTTTATGAAGTATAGGTATGCCCATGCCACTCCTTTCTTTATAATGCAAATTTTCTCAAGATCAGTATATACTATGCGTTAAGTATTTCTATTTCCTGGTCTCTCAGGGGTTGGGATAATAAGGAAATAAGATAAGGTTGACATCAGTTAGGTTGATTTAAAGTGTGCAGAATTTGTTTTACACTCTGCACATGAGCTTTATGAGAGTATTGTGGTGTATGTCTTTGTGCATTTTATGACACATGAATCAACTCTGTACCCACCCAATCCTGTTGCGTCATCTTCTCCATTCTGCACAACAGCATCATGGACTATTTCTGAGGAAGAAACAATTTATATTCATTGCAGCGTTAGCAGGTAGCAGTGTTTTTCAGACATGCATGCATGAAAATGACACGATTAAGTATACTGTATCTTTAAATTAAAATATTCAGACTAAAATAAACGTGTAAACAAATGTATTGTGAGGTGCAGACTGATGACTGAATTACAATGTGGCTTAATCATCACACACTGCTTCTTTGGATAACTAATGTTTTCATAATATGGATGCAAAAGTGCAACACTACAAGACAACAAGAATAAGAACATGCTTCTTTTCTATACAGTAGGTAGTAACCAGATTATTTTCATTACCAGGAAAAAGAGATGTAATTAAAGAGAAGTCTCATTAGAAGTGCAACTTTGGCTAATAGGTGGTGGCAGCCAGAAATGCAGTGTGTCTACATACAGTGGTTTTAACATGATAAAGTGTCACAGGGTTGACATGTATTGGACAGAATATAGTGTTGATGGATGGATGACAGCATTGCTTCTGCTACATACTGCAGTTGCTAGAACTTGTCAACTAGCTTGAAAATACCCATGTTAACTCCCCTGCAGTGTGAAATCTGCAACAATGTGTCACTTTCTCTGGTAAGAAGCTAATGGAAATGCAATTTTCTAAAATGTCCACTGTAATTTTAACAGTTCTCTGTGTCAAAAGGTTTATCTGATCCCACTTACCTGCTCCAGCCTCAGCCATTTTCACTGCCTCCTGTTGGATAAGAGGGACAGGGGAGGAATTAAATTTACTGTGACTCAACTGGTGAAACTGTTTATGTTGTGTTGCCTGAACCTCTGGTGTATTGTGAAGGAAATAGAAAAAAACAAATGAAATGCAAACACAGGCACATCAAACACTTTGAGGAAACAGACAGTCCAGAATGTTTCTATGAAATATTTTTTTCCTCATGTTGTTTAAATTAGCATCTATCCTATGCTCCAAACAGCACAGACAGACAGACACAGCCTGTGCTGAACTACTTAATGTGTCTGCTACAGTCTCTCAAATGGAGGATAGTGATCATTTTTAGCTGTTAAAAAGGCCATGACATTCTGCCTGGTCACAAGGGGGAGTGATTGAGCTGAAAAGCCCTACCTGACCTTTGAAAAGTTGACCCCTGTCCAAATTGGTGTAGCCTGTACTAACCAGAGATCTGCATAGATAAACAGTAACCATGTATATGTGTGTACTCTAAAATGAAAAGCCAGCTTTCAAGGACCTGAACATATGATCACATCCCTAGTCTCATCGGAAAATATGAGGCAAACAAAATAATTAAAAGAATGTCCTGTACATGTTTGAGTTGCCAGATATTATTAGCTGTCATTTGCTCTCAGTCTGCCCAATAAACCATAGCTGTGCTTGCAGGGCCTTTTTTAAAGTGCTGTATTTTTACACAGAGGAGTCATACATAAAAGTCTCCTCCATCACAGCCAGCATGGCTAATCGCCTGTAAAAGCTATTAACAATGGAATCCTCTGTTTATCTTGATTTCAGCTCCAAAGGCCAAGGTTAAGATGAATATATGATAACTATAAAAAAAAAAACCTCACAAAAAAAGGGGACAACTCTTTTGTTCTACTATAAAGACCTTCAGTGAGGTAAAGTAAACACACTTGCGCTTGGCTTGAGGTGAAACAATAATTCCAGATCCGATCAAGTGCTGAATTGTTTATGTAACGGAGCTGCTTACATTGATAAAGTTCCTGCTTTTGAACAAGAGGTGCTACATCAAAGGTACATTAAGAAAGGAAATGCATTATTCATGGCAAAAAGCCACAGACAGAAATTGTGGGACATTTTCTGCCTAATGGAAGATGATGGAGCAAGCTTGTTCAACACATATTCCAACCCCCTTTGTGTCTACAGAGAGAGTGGGCAAGTGTGTGCGTGCGTTCAAGTTCCTCACCGTTTGGCCGTCCTCCATCTGTTCCCTCAGCTTCTCTTCCTCCTCTGCCAACCGCTGGCTCTTGGACTGCAACCTGAGATGGACACACAGTCGTTCAGACACACACAAAAACAAACACATTAATTCTATACAAACAATGAACTGTTACATTATGATGCTATTACATATTCAAATTTGATGCTTAAATGTTTATTTGTATTTATTTTATGATCCCAATCTAAGTAACACTACTATAGGCTTTTTTTTTTAGGTTTAAATCCCCCCAGAGGCCATGTACAGTGTGTGTGAGGAGACTTCTTGAAAAAAGAGGCAGAGCTGTGGACCTTCGCAATAATAAGATGGGGATCTTGGAGTGTAGTCTTCAGGGACCTGACAACATTGTCTAGTCTAGTCTAGTCCTGTCTGGCCAGTGTGCAGGCTGGATCGTCTTCTCACTCTGCTTGTGAGTTCAGTGCTGGCGGAATTAAAAGTCAACTTTGCCAAAGCATACATAATGTACGACAACAGCAAAAATTACAAGAAAACAAAAATAGAAAAGGGAATGCTGCCACTATTAATTATACATGAAGTCTCAACTACACAAATACAACAAAAAATGTGACAGTTCTCTCATGCTCTGTCAGCTTTTCTAACTGTCTCAGGCAGTCACAAACTGTCTCCTCGTCTCCCAGTTCTATCTTGCAAAGACACACACACACACACACACACACACACACACACACACACACACACACACACACACACACACACACACACACACACACACACACACACACACACACACACACACACACACACACACACACACAGTGGCTGTACTTGTCAATGTGCTTTTCGATCTCCTGGGCCTGGGAGCCCCACAGAGGCGAGCGAGGGTTCTCGGTATCCGGGGAGGTCGGGGACAAGGGAGCTCCTTCCATCAACCACTGGTCTCTCAGAGACTTCCTCTGGAGTGAAGAAAATGAGGTGAGAAACAGGAAGGAGGAGAGTAACTCAACTTCTAGTACTCTTTTTATTATGGTGATGTGATTATGTTGTGTTATCCAAGCAAACTGTAATTTAAACACAATTTCCAGTGGGTGCTGTAGGATGAATGTGTCAACATTCACAGATTTTGCTATACAGTACCGTTTACACAACGGTAGCTATCCCTCTAATATCTCTGGTTGTATTATGGCATTGTGACCAGCACTACAAATCAATGAGCAGAAGTGCTTATAGGCAAATTGGATTTTTATATGTTTTTGGATCGCTGTCATTGTGAGTTATGAGGTACTTCATTTACTGGATAACCCAAAAACTGACAGACAGGTTTGGTTATTTTACCCATAAAATGTTAAGCAATTAATTTTCCAGAATACATACTACTATATATCACAACACATATATCCATATCAAGACATTCAATTACATATAGATCTATATAACATTTTATCATTAACGCCCACTCCTACAGTGGAACAAACTATCTGGACTAAACATCAATTTGATTATTGTACATAAGATTTCATATGCATGTCATATTTTGATATGTACCATATAACGTTAGATAAACGGATATTGATTTCAACTATATCACCCAGTTCTAGTGTGAGTGACTCTTAAGTTCTACTAAGAGTATTATACTGTAAAAACAGCAATATTATAAACTCAGCAGTTTCAGTGACAGCCTGACCAGTATCTGAGGCAAATACCAATATTGATATTTGAGGCTAATAACAATATGCAGGTTGATTTTTATTTCAAACATAAATAACAACATAAATATTTTGATAAGGATCCTTCAAATGACATAAAATAACTTGTCAACTGTCAATGGTGAATCAACTATATAATGTTGACACTGGTAATACAGTTAAATGACCTGTAACACATCCTAAGCATTGCAGTAAATTAATACAATGTCTGGTATCAGTAACGACTAGCTTACGTTTGCTAACTAACTTAGCTAACTGGATTCACAAAAGTAGGCTATAGGCTAACTGTCAAATTACACAACACTAACCTCTGTAATGAAACATTACACACCACATATCAATCTAGTGATCATCCACAAGAGGAATAAAATACAAACCATCAACAGTAACCCAACAGTATTTTAACAGTAACATCAAAATTACTAAAATATTGAATTAGCCTTAGCTAACAACAGTACAATGCTACAGTGATACTTACAGTACGGCTAGCCTGGTTAGCGCTTAGCTTAACAACTAAAATTACACTTGAATGATTACAATTGAACTTTAACAAAACAGCTCTACTGATAACAGACACCTGTATGGTAGTTGGTAATGGTAGTTAACCTAACTAACATTAGCTAGATGAAGAGAACAATATCAGTTTAATGCCAACTGCTACAGAACTGTGTCAGTAACGGTTGCTAGTAGCAACAGAATGTTCAACTGAAAGTAACTGCTTGTGGTAGAATGGTGAGTGAAAGAGAGAGACTGCAGACTGTAATCACTCCTGATTTGATACCTCGTGCACTATATTCAGCCTCCACCTTTTTAATTGAGTATCCAATGCATAAAATAATATATGCACTACATAGTTTCCTTGAAGAATGGCCACAATAAAATGAATTAGCAGTTAGTCCAGTATGTGGTATGTCCAATATTTATACCACATTATAATATACTAGTCTACTAGCATACTAGTCTTTATAGTAATGATTTTTGTTTTTGCATATCAAATTGAGTATTAAACAAATCCACATACTTAAACATTTCACGTCAACCAAAGTATGACTTTAAAATGCTACTAACATTGCAAGGAAACACTTTTTACATTGGATTGCAGAAAAACGATGTACATCAATACTTGAATTTGTCACTTCTCCTCTACTCAAAATCTGCTTAGAAGTAGTATGTACATGTATGGCACTGGGACAGGTTACCTTTTTACTAACAATCGGAAAATGCAGTGTTGTATTAGATGCATTATTAGATTACAGTTAACTCGATACTAGACTTACTAGTTACAATTCATATTGATGATAATAAAATGTCAGAAATCTCAATGTATTACTCACTAAAGAGTAAACTATAGATCATTATTGATTGGGGAATAGTAAATAAGTGATGTGACTTCTCTCTAAGAAAGAGAGAGATGTGGAGCAGTGATGGCCAGAGTGAGAAATAAAATGGTAGAAGGTAAAGCAAAGTGTGGTTATGTGAGTGAGGAAGGTGAGAAAGAAGGTGAGAGACAGAAAGAGAGAAACACCTGTAAGTCCATGCCACCAGTCTTCCTCTCAGCTATCCAACAGGGAGAATACAAGTACTAGCATGAATTTATAGCATGTGTGCACCTTTCATTCTCATCTTATTATATACCACTCCAGTAAATAGACTTGACCCAGTGAACAAAAGCAGCCTGAGGCAATCTTACCATTCCCTCTTAACAGTACACCAAACCAAGTACAGATGCTTTCAAGTTTTACACAAGCAGGAGTGCAATTCTCAGTAGGCACCCACTGGACATCTAGTACAAACCCTTTAAAAGCTCTAAGTGTGTGTTTGTAAATGTGAAAATGAGTGCCACATCCCTCACAGGTGTATACACTGCATGAGTGTCCATTGCAAACATGACAGTACATCTCAAACTACACAAGCTATCACAAATTTCACAAGTATATCAGATTTCTCTACTAATTGCTACTACTAATTAGTGTTACCTTTATAGATCTGACTAAATGGAATTCAAAATGTCAGAAACTGAAGTTGTTTACCTTTAATTTTAGTTCTGAGATTCACAGAGGAATACAGTGTGTAAAGTATGCTGTAATGGCATGAAATCTTCACCTTCACAGCTTGTTTTCCAGAACATTATAAAGTTTCCATGAGCTGGACTATAGCTTGTAAATTACTGTACGTGTACTGACAAGGAACAATGTTGGAAATGTAATACTGTCCTTTAGTGTCAACAATGCTGGCCATATTTCATAAATTACAACAAAAACAAATCTGGTGAGATACTACTGCACAATCAGAAAGTAAACCCTGGCAATGAAAGTGACATGAAAATGATGTTATGATGATAGTGGTTACAGGGCCATCTGTCAGGCTTATAAAACCAAGTCTGCTATTATTTACTCCAAAAATGTATTTCCTTTGGTATTTGCAGAACTTCTTCACAGACAAATAAATTCCACTAAATTCCAAAAAATTATCTGCCAAAACTGAATGGAAAGTCCATGGTTACACAATGTATATATATATATATTAAACACTTCACGGAGATAGTTGTAATCAGGAAACTGTCAGGAAGGAGAAACAATTTTCACTCAAAAATATAATAAACCAACTTCATTCCCCTGTACCTCAGGACTAATAACAGAGGCTGCATGGTGACTTAGTCAGTATGACAGCTGGGTTAGGTTGCAACCAATTGTCCTTGGTTCAAGTGCGTATTTCTGCAAGCATCTGTGCAGCTACAGTGCCCTTGAGCCAGACAGTAAACTCTTGCCAGTTCTAGGAATTCCGGTCTGAAGCTGACCCTGAAAGGCAGAAATAAACAGAGTCTGCCTGCAAGGAACTTTTTAGTGAATCTAATCTAATAGCCAGGATTATTATTTTTATCATAATTAAATGGCCATATGCACTAAAATCCAGTACACAGCGTTCATGTCAGGTGATGTCTGCAAGGTTACTACTGAGGTGAAAACATCTGAAAACCCGTACTATCCATGGCATCCATGTTTTCAAAATGTGGCAACCGTTAGCCTGTAGCTACCTACTTAACTATAAGCGTCACAAAAACATCTCTGTGTTTTCTCACGCAGTGAAGAACAAGCCCTGCTCTGTTCCCCTCCCTGTGCCTTTGGCCTGCTGGGCGCAGCCAAACTCTCCTGCAGGTTAAGGAGCGCTACAAAAACGTCTGCTTTATCACATCCTTACATCTACTCTGGGGTTACAGTCAATGTCAAAGCTAATGAACGTATTAAATGCTATGATGATATCTCCTCCTGTGAGAGAGCAAATATGGAAATAATCATTAAAAATTAATCTTTGAAGCCTCTTGCAGCCTGATTTTCAATCTCACACACACGACTGATGTTTGGTGCATTGTGCACAAACTGACATGCGCACACAAATATGGTGAGCATACATGCAAACATCTCTTGCATGACCACACTGGTATACGCATGCATACCTGCGTGCACGCAAACACATGTTGCACACATTTCTCACAATTTGAGGAATGTGCCCCAGGGCAGTGTAACACAGTGGAGTAGGAAGTGGGAACGCCAGTCTGGAAATGATGTGAAAACAATAGAGCAGCTCTGTGACTTGCAGAGTGAGTTAACACTCACATAAAAACTGATTTCAGCAAAGGAAGGCTCGCCTCTAACCTCGCGAGAAACAGGCAGAACCAGGAAGTGTGGAAGGTTGAACAGTTCATCTCTGTGTATGTGTAAATAGTGTGTGAGAAGAGGAAATACATTTGGATGCTATCTGCTTCCTAACAAGCTGGAATGGGTCTGCAGAGGCCTTTAGCTGAATGAAATTAAGGCTGCATTTGTCTGACTATGTGTGTGAATGGATGAGACAGGTTTAATCATCCTGCATATGTGTGTCAGACCTTGAGCTGCTGTAGTCTGAGCTTCTCATCCTCCATTTCTCTCCTGGCTCTGTCCTGCTCCTCCTGCAGCCGACGCTTCTCCTGACAGAGAAAAAAAGGAGGAGGAAAGGAGGGAGATGGCAAAGAAAGAGAATGAATGTAGACATTTTGATAGTTTGGTAGAGTGGGAGTGAGAGCAAGAAGAGTACCAATAAATCATTATTATTATTCAAATAAAGAGAACGATGGACTCAAATCAGCAGCCAAACACAAACACAACAAGCTGATGTTAATGACTCAACAGAAACAAAGAAAAGGAAGAGACGTCAGCAGTAAATAAAACATCACTGAGAAAGAGTAAAACACCTGGTCAACCATCTGTCACAAGGACACTGTCACCACAGACATCAGGTATACTCTATATCCCATAATGCTCAGAGCAGCTGTTCCCATGGCAACTCAGTGTTGTTTTTGTGGGACCAGGGACACCCTGGCTCACCACATTGCACATTCAGTAAATTATTTAGGAGTTACGGACAGCTCAGAGAGCTTAGTCTCTTTATCCTCTCTTTCTCTGTACAGACAAATCTGAAATAAAGGCAGAAGTAGACAAGCTGCCACTACTGTAGTAGCACTTCACTTGTAAACCTTCTACACACTGATGTGTAAATTTCTTTTTTTTGTGTGAAGAAACTGTCCAGGAGATCCTGTAGAATTGGTTATATGTTGAAAATGTAGTTGTCAAATTCCATTAAAATAAAGGTTCTAATCTACAAAATGTTAACGTCATCCAGTTTTAACAGACAGCGAGACATCCTTGCTGTGGAGCTACTCCAAGAGGGAAAAAAGGGAATGTAAAAAATTAATTTTACTTACATATCTTATCTCTATTAATTCCTCATGTTTTGATTGCATTCTGAGGTAAAGATCTGAAGACCGGGGGATCTGCCAACACTGGGCCAATGGTGAAACATCACTCTGCTAGCTTTTTACTATATTTCCGGTCTGAAACTTTTACAACATTATGTGTTTCAATTTCTATTTAATGATGCATTTCTTCTGATTAAATACATGGAATCAAAGAATTTGCTGATTTAAATTTGACTGTGGAGGTTGGACAGAAGCAGTACAATAATGTATTTATTTCCCCAAAAGACTAGTACTTTAAGACCTCCACATTCAGGTAGACTTCCTTCATCTGTCTGAGGAGGGAAATGCTGACCACAATTAACCTAAACATCTTTCCACAGTCAGTGTACAGTGTGCAAAGACTTACAGCAATGGCCTCCAGTCGCTGTTTGTACTTGTCCGCCTCATCCATTCTGGCACCTGTGACACAACAAGACAGGGTTGAAAGTTAGAGATCAGAGATTAAACAAAGTCAAAACAAGTGGACTGGATCCATTTATTCCCCGAAATGACTGTGCTCAGTGGTTTGAGAGAATGAACCCAGGCCATTATTTTAAATGTATCCTCTGAACTTACACACACAACCCTGTTTAGCATTTTCTTGTTGAGATGGCATTGTTTGTGCTGTATGGTCTGTTTTTTTTTATTTTTTTGGTCTTTACAAATGTCAAAGTTGTCTGTGGTCTAAAACAACTAACTCTTGAGTCCCACCCCTGCTACATATGATAATATACAAGCATGTGGGGCAAGATCAGAAACCTACATACGTCTGCAGAGCCAGCATGACCCACAATCCATTCCCACCTTCACCAAAAACATCTCCCCCGCATCCCTAATAAGCCAATTGTGTCTATCATGACACAGCCTCAGGCATCTCAAAGAAAATGAGCATAGGCATTTGTTTTCCCCTGCAGCTGACACTAAATGGGACAATATTTGAGCTCCCTAAAACTCAGTTACATGAGAGAGCATAGACTAGAGTCATACATAGCAACCAGCTCACAGCCACTCAGTCATTAGTGAGTTCCTGCCATCACAAGCCATAACTCTGCTTTAACAAAAAAAAACAATTCTCAGGAGAGAAACAACACTTATTTTTGTCCAACATGTAATTCTGCACTGGGTGTGCTTCATACAAAATACTTATATGATAAGAATAATCTATAATAAAGAATAGTGAAAACACTGTTATTGAAACTAAAATGTGGGGTTTTGATGCAAGGACAGCAGTAATCCTTCCGATTACTGACAATCCTGTGTGGTGTATAAAGAGTTCTGTCCTACACCAAAAAACACATTTAGCCATCACAGCAACTGAGATCTTACATTGGGGGAGATCAGAGCAAAAAAGAGAGCTTTGAAGCGCTAGACATGTCCATACCAATGCACGCACACACAAAACACTTTCCAGATGCATAACCTGCAAAACCTCCTAAACAAGATCTAACTTAACCCTCAACTCACCTTTTACATCAAAATACAACTGTACATTGACTTTTAGTTTGAGAAAAAAAGGTCAAGCTCAAACTACCAGACTAAGCTTTGACACATCAACCCTCAGCTACATTCCCCAAACCTCCCTCTCCATCAAACACTCATATGCTCTACAAATGAGGTTTCTCATTTCTGCCCAGAAGGCAACACAGCAGAGCTGATGCTATTGTTGCACCTTTAATATGGTAGATCTTGCAGGGCCTTAAGGGGTGTAAGTTAACACAGAGAAAAACTTCTCCTTACAAACACCTAAAGGATTCCTTTGGCACCCTCAAGGTGAGGGTTGGGTGGCGGAGTCACAGGGGGGAAAAAAAGAGTCCACATAAAATAATGTGAAAATGTAGGTGTACTGTGGATAGAGGGGAAAACATAAGGATGAAAGAAGAAGAAGGAAGAGGAAAAAATTGGGTAGGGAAACACCTCTAGCATGCTTTTCATTACACTGGAGTTCTCTCAAGAACTGAGGTGGAAAGCCAGAGAGGAAGGATTAGCAGAAACAGACATGAGAATATATAATATATAATATACATACATACATACATACATACATACATACATACATACATACAATATAGATAGAGAGAGATTGAGAGACGAGACAAAGTATAAAGAGAAAAAATCTCATTTTGGCAGTGTTTTGAATGACTGGAGGTGCAGTGACAGCTTACAGTATAAGTCCCCGTAGGGAGATGAGGCTTGTGTCTCATCAGGGCTCCAGGAGAGCGCCGAGAATAGCAGCCAGAGATAAACAAGCAAACACAAACAGAGGCTTTGATGAGGAGGTATTGAGGAGCTCCCCGTAGACACACACTGACTTCGATAATTAGACATGATACAGAAGGGTAGAAAAGGAAAGGCTGACAAAGTCAAAAAGTTAAGAGACAGAGAAAGTCAAGATGGTTGGAGAGAAGAGCGACAAAGGAAGACGAAGACGAGAGGGGAAGGTGACAGGAAAACGTAGCCACTGGTTTGGATTCATCCCTCAATATCCACATAATGGGAGAATGCGAACGTAAGAAAAAATCGTATACAGGACCAACAGAAAACAAGAGACTGTTCAAGAATTGGAAGAACAGAGAAATTGTATATTAAATCAACTCTGTTTCCAATAAGACCCTGATAATCATCAATCAAACTCAGGTCAATCTGGTCCCTAAGAAAAATGCATTTAAAGAATTGTTGTTCACCCATAAAGGTGAAAATATCCGGTATTTCACATGAAAAAATAGAGAAAAGTCAGAAAAATGAATGACATTTTTTATATTTCTTATTCCTTGAATCATCTTATGACCCCCTTAGACTTATTTTCTGTCCCCTTGGAAGGAACCTCAGGAGGAACAACAGAAAAGAGATCCCTCTTCCAGAACAGGCAGACATATGTAGACCAAAATAACAATAGTAAAATTACAATATGGAAAACCAGGATGACAATATCATAGATACTTATAAACATTCATGATTTATTATAAATCATATCTGTTCTGTATTGGGCAGCATCCACATTATAAAACCAGTCAGAAGTATTATTAATGGGAAATCTTTACTTTAATCATTTTGTGAATCTTTGCACCTTAACTGTGAATTTTCACACAACTCCCACAATCCTCTTGTGGTACTCAGAAAGCACAGCAACCCACAACTGTGCTGTGGGACCAAACACAAAAACTAGACTTGTTCACTGCACCTTTGCCTGTTAATGCACACCATATCCAATACATCTCAGAATCAAACAGCAGCAGTAAAACACCAATATGGCACATGGCCATGAACACAGCTCGGCTGCTACAGGATTTAATTACAGACACCGGTTCACCTGTAACACCTGTTACATGACAACCCAGATGGCTGAAATGACTGAAGTTTGATTAAAATTGACAGTTTTTTGGTATTCAAGGCAAACATTTGTGTCTTACACAAACACTTGTCAGATGCACGAGTTGTAGGCTGTCTGACCTCAGTGGTATGACCTCCCAAACACAGACTGTCGCCCAGTTTACAGTCTCTCGCTCCCTCCCCATACCCCACTCACACTTAGTCATACAATGGACAATGACAAAAGAGAGAAACAGAAGCAGGAGCAATGGTAGTCTTTTGGCGAGAGGAGGTTACATTGTATATGTGTGCGGCAATGATAATGTTAATTTATTGATTAGTCAACAAGCCTTTTTCACAGCAGATGTTTCTATTTGTCATAGTAGTAAAAGCACAGGTGTTTTAATAACAAGGTATATGTTTTAACCAAGTGTCCCAGTAAGTGTGACAGTGAGCCAGCATGCACAATACCAGGACCCTGACTGAATCGGCTAAATGAAAGATACATGTGCTTTTCCTTTTAACAAGTAAAACTTATGTGATGGGCCTTTTTTGGTATTTTCAGATGTTACAGATTAATTAACTGATTTAGAGCTGCAACTAATGATTATTTTATTGTTTTTATAATCATCAACTAATCTGCCAAGTAGGGGTGGGCGATATGGGCAAAAAATAATATCTCAATATTTTTTGGGATTTTGGCGATAACGATAATCAGTCGATATCCTTTAAAATGTGATTAGAATTGTCTGAGCTGGACTTGTGTCCACCAAACGCGTTTACAGCGCTGAGAGAGCTCAAAAACTCATTTTCCGAGCGCCCAGCGGTGTTAAAAGTTGAACAGATTTCAACTTGAAGCGCTCTGAGCGCTGCGCTAAAAAAAACCCGTCTCCGCTGACATCTTTTTACCGCTGAAGGCGCTTAGCGCTCTGAACACTGAAGCCCATAGGACCCACGTCTCGGCACTAAATCATCTGAAGTACTGGTAGCTTCAGGGACTGGAGGTGTTTGCATTTTCTCTCTACCATCACAACGCGCTGCTAAACTGTTGCAAGGATGATGCTAGCGAGAGGTCACGTGATCACGTCATGTGATCACGTAGGCCCACTAGTTGTGTGACTGAATCCTGCCATGCTGTAGAGAGCGCTGCTGCACCGTGTATTAATGGATGTGAGGAGTTTCCGCGTGTGTTTCATTGTTTTTGTCGAAGTAATTTAAATACTCGATAATGGAAATTTGCACATCGTCAAAACAACAATGACGATATTATCGCAAACGATATATATCGCCCACCTCTACTGCCAAGTAATTATTTATTGGGTTAGGGTTACTGTAATTATTAATTATTTGGTCCAAAATGTCAGGAAATAAGAGATAGCGATGGGCATTTTTCTATTTTCTGACATTTCAACCAAAGGTGAAAAGAAAATTGCTTGTTTTGTACAACCAAGTATTCAAAATCCAATGAGATTTAGTTCATGTCCTACTTCACCAATGTAACATTTCACTAAACACTGTCTGACTCACAATGGTTTTCTTTTTTTTTTATGATCAAAATCTAAGCAGAACCAGAGATATAACCAAAAATACTTCGACCTTGACAAAATGTGGTGCCTACTTAACAGTGCAACTCTAACTGCTGACAGTTCAGTCAGAAATTTGGGTGTGTTATGCTAGCAAATGTAGCCTCGAGCAGACCTTAGGGGCTCACTTCTTTTCCACACCTCCAGAGTTTTTCCAATTTCGAACTTGTAGTCTTCAGACCCAGCCTCATAAATGACTTAAACAATTAATTATCAAAACAGTTGCCAACATATTTTCAGTCTATTAATTAATCGATTTATCAAATGACTGTTTCAGCTTTAAATTGGATAATAAAAGAACTTAATAGTGTACGTGTGTATAGAAAGGTCTAGCAACTCAAGCTGCCTCTCAGTCATTCAGTCTTACAGCAAACTGTCAGCATGGTTCCTTTGCAAACATTCCTCCTGCCCCGGTGCAAAAGAATGTATATTTGCTTTCAGTGTACGTATGCATGTTTATATAACAATGTATATTTGCCTAGTGGGGTGCCATGAAGTCTATATGCTGAGTGCTGGTGTAGTGACATTAGC